GGGGGTAACAAGATATAGGGTCAAAATAGTCTTTTGTAGTAGAAGTTGTCATTTGTAACTTTTGTAGTTAAAAGTGTTACTTCATCTGTAGCATCTTTAGTTATATCCTTGTACTATATAAACCATATTGGGAAACCCTAATTCAATACAAGTCTTATTTTCCTTTTCATTCTCCGTTCTCTCTCTCTCTCTCTCGCTCTCTCTCTCTCTCTTACTCTCTTCGATCTACATTCTCAAATCCTAATACAACTCAAAGGAGTAGTATAGTAGGTTCCATATATGTACACATGTGCATGCACAATTAAGAACAAAACGACATCGCAAAATATAACCTAAGCGACATCATTTAAAGCCACAATGAACAAATTAAAAAACGCGGGAACAAACTCACGCTTTTATTAGTAAAGAAAAGAAAAGGAAACAAACGGTAATAACATAAATGTGAGTAAAAACGCAACAACCCAAAATGCACTCCCAGCTACACTTCAATAATGGTGTTGCAAGGTTCCCTTTTTCTTTTTATTTCTTTATTTTTTTTTATCATTCTTGTAAATGTTGCACTGACGAAACAACTAACCACGTTACTGTCAATTACAAGTGTTTGATTGGTGTACTTCATCTTACCAATTATAAGGTTATGTATCATTTTTGCCAAGAAAAAAAAAATAAAATTCACAACCATACTCCACATATATGATGCATTCTACTTGGTGCATAGATACATACGCCAGATAGAACGATGATCTCACTATCAATTCAAAACATGTGGCGCGATATGGCTGTGTGATTTTGTTGTGCCATTATATGGTGTGATCAAGTTCTCTGATGCAATTAAAACCATACCATATGGGTGGAAGAAAATGTTTTTTGAAAACGTGAGTAAAAAAATGTATAATTTATTACTGTTTTTTAACACATTAGTTAGTATTGATTTCTTGGAATTTATTTTAGAAGTTAGCACCGATTTCTTGGGATGGACTTCAGTCTCATTATACTTCCTTCTAGCATTAGTGGCTCAAGCTCGGCAGTATTCATAAGGTTCCAATCACAGAGGATAGAATTCAACTTACTTGTTATATACTTTGGTGGATGTGGAAGACGATAAACCTTTGAGTTTTTTAGCAGGTACACAGATCAGAAGCAGATACAATCAAGTTAGCTTTGGCAAATTGGCGGGAATCGACTAGCTTTGGGGCTTAGCCCATTGGCTTGATTACTTTTTTAGCGTTGTGGTAGTTCAATTTTTTTTTTT